GAAGAGGTGGTAAGTGCTATAGATGTCATTGGACATCTGGAGCTGAAGCCCAGTGTGCTTCTTTAAGAGTTCAGTGATGTTCTCTTCCTGGAAGGGAATCTTCTCAAGGATCACAACAGCATCTGTCTTATCCCCAGAAGCATTATTCACCTAAAGAAATAACACAAACAATTCTCTGCTACACCAAAGTCAGCAACCACCAACAGATGTGCTTGGAAGCACACAAGCAAGATGCAAAAAGTCAAAGACCATTTTTTAATATAGATTGTAGCAGCCAGTTCTGATTAGAACACTGAATAGTTGGCTGCAAATATGTATGTGTGTGTGTGTGTTCTTGTACAGTACATGTATGAAGAAACGATCACAAGGATAACAAGAGGTCTGGTTATCATTCATTCCAGTATCTCTTACCTTTTGAACCACTATCAACCACGATCATGAATATTCGATCCTTAAGACACAAGTTTAAAAATGGGAAAACCAGGAATGATGTAAAGCATTTTTATTTTGATACGTTGCTACAGTCAAGCTCTAAACCCTGAAACCTTGAATGTGAACACACTGGTCTGTTTAGATGTAAATTGGCAAACCATGTACAAGTAATGAACTATGTAAATTAAACATTTATCAAACATACCAGCTTACAAGTATCAGGGAGCTACCAAGATTGACAGAACATTTAAATATTAAGAGAGGAGAAGAAACTCAGGATAATAAGATACAGGAGGAGGATTTGGATCTGCACAAGGCACTGATAAGAATTTACTGTACTTTATCATAGCCAGCCGCCTGGTAAGATGATTAGTATAGGAAAAATGTATGCCATGATTAACCTTGTGATACACTGAACTGGGATGAGCGATGGTAGAACAATTCATCTGTATCTACCGCACTAAATCTGACCTTGGCTGTTCCACCAGGAAGCATATTACCTGCTTTTGGTGGTGCTTTGTAACTGTAGTTTATCGACCCTTTCTCTCTTTAATAGCTTTACTCACCCACACTTTGAATTTGACCTTGAATCTAATCCACCTTCCTTTAAAAAAAAATCACTCCTCTAGAATTTAGACTGTTCTTTAAAATGATAGAGATGTGAGCAATTTCCTGACACTTCACTGCACGCCTTGGTTATCTCTGGGTGGATTTACAGAGGACAATAAAAGTATTAATCCAGCTGTATCCCCTGCACTCGGGAGAATCTGCCTTTGAAACACAATATAGTTGTAAAAGGCGAATTAAAAGAGTACTTGCAATTTTCCAGTTCTTATAGGCCCTGAGTGACAAGTCCATCCATCTTATTTACAGCATTCAAGTTAACTGCTAGTTTGCAATTCAATTTCTCTTTAAACATTAAACATGAAAAACTGATCTCCTGGCCAAAAGCAATAGATATGCTAATAAGAAAAATAATCTAAATCTGGAGATACGTAGGAAATACTTTTGTTAGGTGAAATAATAGTAATCTGGGCACTCGGCTACACAATTTCATTCAGCTATATGACCGCTGTATTCCCTGTTTATTTCTCACTGTCAAACCTGTAGACTAGGTCTCATCTAGGACATCTCCATTGCTAAAACCCATTGTATTTTATTTGTTTTTGGCTCAGCACACAATTCACTATAGTTTCTTGAGGTTTAGTCAACAAATAATGGTTAAGTGGGTTACTGTGTGATATAAAACCATGTATTCTCCTAGGGATTGAAAATAACATTAGAATCAGTAGAGAATTTATTCCCAGGTTGTTATCACTGGGTTCTTCCCAATACATAGCCTGGATATTCTAGGATACATTTTGTCGAAACATTTTTCTGCTTTGTAGTTGGAATCTGAATAGCACAAAGGCTGGAAAGGGGGAGGGGGCAAAGGAAGAAAACATAGGTAAATAAATGATGCTAACCCATCAACTGAGGTTAGAGTATAAAATATTTTCTTTTTTTCCATATGTTACAACAAATGGCAGCCAGTCTAGGGGACCTTGGCTAATCTTGAAAAAGTTCAACAGGGTCAGATCTGGCCAGTGCTTGCATGGAAGACCACAAAAAATCCCACTTGATTATAAACTAGATTGGAATGCTTAGAAAAACAACAGAAGAATGTAAGGATAATGCATTTCTGTACTGTTGCCATGGAAATGGAAAGACCATGTCCATCCATTACCAGAAGATGAGCTTGAGGGAGCTTTTACTATAAGCAACCCAAATTCTTTCCCCTCTTTGCCTGGCACCTCTCGATCTCTTCCATCTTTACTCATTGGCAGTTTTCCCCAACCGTAGCAATTTTAAGACTTGTGGACTTTAACACCCAGAATTCCTTAGCCAGAATGAGGAATTCTGGAAACTGGAGTTTCTTAAAGTTGCCATGTTTAAGACTCATGAGTGTAGACTCGGATTGTCAAAAAAAAAAAAAAGCTCAACTGCAGCTGAAACATTGCGCCAAGCTGCAGGAATCAGTCTCCTTTGTGCCTCTTTTAAGCTGCATATTTCTGAGTTGTGCATGTCAATAGAATTAGAATTAGAAGAATTAGAATTATTTTATTGGCCAAGACAAGGGATTTGTCTTGGTGCAAATGATCTCAGAATACATAAAAGAAAAGATACAATATATATTTATTATTGTTTTGGGGGAGGAAAATAAGGGGGGGGGATTCTGCCTCTGCCTACCAACATCCATCGGTATTCATCTGGTATCCTGTCAGTGTGTGATAGTTGAGGGTTGTTTGGAAACTTGAAACAGTATTTCCTGTGTGAGCAAGGAGACAGCAAGGAGCCTGGGCGTGGCTTAGCTCAACTGTTGTGTAGCAAAACTGGTTGCTGCTGTGAAATTAAAACTGAAACTCCTTTGCTTCTGTTTTGCATTTGGAACAGATTTCTTTTCAGGGGGGGAGGGGGGGTAGAATTCCTTAGCATCAGAGCGTGTTAGTAGTAATATACGCAATACTAATGTTCTGATGGTCATTTCGAAAAATCCTTTCTTAGTGAGCACCTAGAAGCCAAGAGGAACATAGGTGCCAAATTTCAAGTTTGTAGGCTTTATGGTTCTGGAGATTTTGTGATGATGCGTGAGTGGTATTTTGCTTTTTTAGATAGATAGATAGATAGATAGATAGATAGATAGATAGATAGATAGATAGATAGATAGATTAGATAGATTAGATAGATTAGATAGATTAGATAGATAGATAGATAGATAGATAGATAGATTAGATTAGATAGATTAGATAGATTAGATAGATAGATAGATAGATAGATAGATAGATAGATAGATAGATAGATAGATAGATAGATAGGCAGGCAGGCAGGCAGGCAGACAGACAGACAGACAGACAGACAGAGATGATATAGATAGATGATAGATGATATAGATGATAGATGATATAGAGATAGATAGATAGATAGATAGATAGATAGATAGAGATGATATAGATAGATGATAGATAGATAGATGATATAGATGATAGATGATATAGAGATAGATAGATAGATAGATAGATAGATAGATAGATAGATAGATAGATAGATAGATAGATAGACTGATTGATTATATATACCTATGAACATGACAAATCAATTAAAAATAGAAAATAGAAAATAATTTGTATATTTTTTTATAAAAACAATATGCAGAAGGCCCAGAGATCAGGCATTCGGGGGCCAGGAGTCTGTTCTGAAGTCTTTATGCACATTTTTATTTCGTGCAGTCTTCCCACACCACCCCAACTTGGGAGAAGAAACGCCTCCTGTCCTGCTGCTTCTTTCACACCCCTCAGCAAACAAAATGGGGAATCCTCAAAAACTCCCCCACCCACACCCGGCCCTGGCGCTCAGTGGAAGAGCCCAGCCCCCTCCTTCCCTTCAGCCTCTTTCTCAATTAGAAGGGAGGCTTTGAGGTGCCTTGGACCGCAAATCCCGTCACCCCCTTCCCCGTCTACTAGGCGGCCTATTGAGGTGGGGGGTGATGGGAACTGTAGTCCTGGCACACCTTGCAACAGCATCGGCACGCGGGAAGGAGGTGTGCGATGACGTCACACGCTCTCCGACAGTCACCGCTATTATTATGCAAATCGTGACGTTCCCTTAATCAAAAAGGCGGCGAGTGAGACGTCGCCGGCTAGCCCCGCCCCTTGTTCTCTTATTGGCCGCCAGCTAACAATTCCAAAGCCCGAAGAGCCAATAATTCCCCTACCCGCCCGTGGAGGAAGATCGCCTTCTCCCGCGCGGATTCCCTCAGCACTTTCATCACAGAGAGCTCGGCCAAAGGGAAGTTGCCGGGGGCCGGCCCTTCATTTTGAGACCCGGCGGATCCGTTCTCTCCCTCTTTTTCCTCGCGTTTTCTCTTCAGAGCGGGAGACTCGGCCATCTGTGTGAGCATAAAAACTAGCGCGCAGGCGCAACTGGATTACCGCCAAACTGCGCGCCAGTGAAGTTTCGGCGGCTCCCTCTACCGGTCGGAGGACGCAACTACCAAGGAGCGGTTTGGAGAAACGATCCAAGGACTCCTTGCGCCTGCGCACACTCGCAAATCTTAGCTCTGAATATAGACTCAGAAAATGTAGAACAGTCGCGCAATTGATTTGGACTACAACTTCATGGTTCCTTCAAGTTCTTGGGTAGACCTCTCTACTAGATCAGGGGTCTCCAACCTTGGCAATTTTAAGCCTAGAGGACTTCAACTCCCAGAAGCTGGCTAGGGAATTCTGGGAGTTGAAGTCCTCCAGGCTTAAAGTTGCCAAGGTTGGAGACCCCTGTACTAAATGATGCCCCAAAGCAGAGGAATAATGAACATTAGCATGGTTATACACTAGCTTCTATATAGATTTTTTTAAATCTACAATTTCAAAACTGTTCCAAATGCTTTACTCAATATGTACCTCACTTTCTATAAAAAAAGGATATTAAATTGGTTAATGGATAAATTACAGGCATTTAAAAAGGAGGTCTGTAACAAACATGGTGTATTTGTCAAAAAGAGACACCTAAATAAAAAGGCAGTAGAAAAAAAATGAATCCAGCATCCCTGTGCAGGGAGTTCCAAAGTTTATTGAAGCAGCAAAAGACATTTTTCATCTTGTAATCATATGCTTTCTACTGGCCATTTGTCTTCTGATACAAAAACAGAATTTATTCCAAATTGCATGGACCATTATAAGACAACTAAATATTCCAAATACTGCAGGTAAACCCAACTAACGTTCCAAATGCAATTCAGCATTCAGATTTATATCATGGAAAATGCACCCACAATGTAGAATGACACCTCAGATATTCCTTTTATCTCAAATTATACACAATCCATTCCTTAGAAGGATCATTGACTAACAACATTGTATTTTCAGTGACAGGTCAAGGTAATACTAACCCTGGATAACACAGGACTAAATTAAACTCCCATCATATAAACACAGGCTGAATTTTTAAATCAGGTTACTGAATAAGCTACCAAGTTAGCAGGCTTTGAAGAGAACCGAAAAAAGCTGGATTCACACCTTTAAACCAAAATGTAACAAGTATTTCAGTTTAGCACAATATGCAAATTTAGCCACATACATTTTCTGTAAATCATACAAATGTATGGAAATCATACAAAATTTCACAGCAGCCTTGTCACCCGACAGGCAGCTCACTGGGGTGTAAATGGCGGGATCTGAATTCTCTTAAATTAATAATTGTGTACTGCCAAGAAAGGTAAAAGCCAATCATGGCTACAAACTCAAGGTTATGCTGTTTTTGTTTTTTTAAACATGGTTAATACTGCCATTTTATTAAAGCTATAATATTGGAAGTTCCCAACTTACGACTACAATTGAGCTCAAAATATATGTTGCTAAGCAAGACCTTTGTTAAATGAGCTTTGCCCCATTTTGCAACCTATCTTGCCACAGTTGTTAAGTCAGTAACATGGTTGTTAAGTGAATCTGGTTTCCCCATTGACTTTGCTTGTCAGAAGGTCGCAAAAGGTGATCCCAGGATCCTGGGATGCTGCAACCATCATAAACACAAACCACTTGCCAACTGTCAGTACTTTGATCATGTGACCATGGAGATGCTGCAATGGTCATAAGTGTGAAAATGGTCATAAGTAACTTTTTTCAGTGATGTAACTTTGAACTGTTTATAAGTTGAGGATTACCTGTATTTGGATATAATTCGGACATGTATAACTCCCTGATGTTGCAGAAACCTTTGTAGCTTTCAGCCATCCAAAAGAATGATGATCAAAGGTCTAGAATTCACTGTGCCTGGAGTTCAGGAAGAACTTTATACAACCACAATTTGGACTAGAATATTTCCATTGCTAAGCAGGGTGGTTATTAAGCGAGTCATGGCCAATTTTATGACATTTTTTTGCCAGGGTTAAGCAAATCAGCTGTTAATTGAACCATGCAGTCATTAAGCGAATCCAGCTCCCCATCCCCAACTGACTTTGCTTGTTGGAAGCCTGCTGGGAAGGTCACAAACAGCGATCAGATGATCTTGGAATGCTACAATCCTTCTCAATACACGCCGGTTGCCAAGCGACTGAATTTTGCTTATGTGACCATAATCATCATCGTAAGCATGACCATGAGGATGCTACAATGGTCATAAATGCAAGGACTGAATCATAAGTCGCCTTTTTCAGTGCAGTTGTAATTTTGAACATTGGTAAACAAAGGATTGTAAGTTGAGGACTAACAAGAAGCTAGCAGGAGGTTTGGAGGAACCCAATACAAAACAACAACGACAACAAAGGGTAGGGAGACTCTACAGGTGGAGAAAGCTGGAAACCAGATGAATGTGACTAAAAGAACAAAGCCGCAGCGTATTGACCAACTGTTAGGACTGCAGAGAAACACCAAACTAGATGGGAAGGAAAGAAAAGGGGACTTTACAGAGAAGGACATGACTGGCTGACCTATGAACACAACCAATGTTGGGATTCCAAATTGAGCGCTAGTGGTTCTGCGGACTTCAACGATCACTTCGCGTGCGCTCAGCACTCAAAGAACATTTTATGCGCGTGCGTAGCACTCAAAAATAGCCTGAGCTGTTTTTTTAGCTCAGCTGAGGCATGGCAATCCACTCTGCCATGCGAATCAGCTGATCCATGGAATAAAGGATGGGAAAGAGCCGGAGCAAGGCCAGCCAGAGGTGATATTTGCCCATTCTCCCAACTGGCCAAAATTTTCATTACCGATATACCAGAACCGGTCCGAACCAGCTGAATACCACCTCTGAACACAACCACTTGTATCTTCTTGTTACAAATTAGTGTTGGGCCATATCTCATCAGAATCGTTAGTATAATGATGGAATTTAGCTCTGCGAAAAGGTTCCTCAGTTCCGGGAAAAGTAAAAAAAGATATGAAACTCAAAAGAGTCCCACCTTGACCTTAATCTTGTTGTGTCCTTAAAAGGGGGCATTTTTAGAAGGATTTTAACTGTCTTCCATAATAGTTGCGTTCCTGGAATCCCTACAGTGCTCTTTTCTATCTCCACCCAAACAGGATTAAAGCATCACACATCTCCAAAATAAAGCTAATCAGTCAAACACAGAGATTTAAATCTCAGCATCAGATGGAATCTGCCTTCCTAGTGGCAGATCGAGTCAACCTCGCTGAAAGAGGACATCTTTGCCATAAAGGGTTCTTCTCCAAGTCCCGTGTACCGAAAGACCTTCCTTTGACCTTACATTTCCTGTAACCAATAATCTTTTTTTTTTCCATCCAAAAGTGCAGTTAGTCTTTGCTTATTGTGTTTTGACAAAAGTCCAGGAGATCTAAAGGAAAAAAAGAAAAAGCAAGCCGTCAGGAGCTTTGAATCCAATGAAGAGCCTCACTAATTATAAACTATGGTTCCTTCAGCTGTCATCTATTTAATAAATTACAACTGAGTTTGCACAACTTGCTCAGTCAAAACCAATCTGGTTTTTATGCAAGATGCGAACCCACCTGTTCTGACCTACACTTCCCCAGCAGCACAAAGCCAACGGCTCATCCCAATAAACCCCTTTTATTTAGTTTACAGTGAATTCCTCTCCAGCAAAGTCCCGGACAACAGCCTTTCAAGATAGTTCACAATTACAGACCTTTATCAGGCTTGGAGAGTTGCCAGACCGATATCTTTCAGGTGCCACACTGTAGCAGACAACACTTGGCAAGAATGCAGGAACAGATCTTCACCCAAATGAACTAATTGTCTCCTGCAAAACCCCACTCCCCTTTCGCTCCTCTTTTATTCCCTATGGGAGGGGCCATTCTCTGTCCAACTGTGGCTTTACTCCCAAGTTGACCCTTGTTCCCTAGCTGTTCCTTCTTCTGGCAGCTCTGCGCATGCACACACTGGGAACAGGCTCCAGCTGTTCTTCTGCCTCACTGATGTCCAACTCCAAAGGCAGCTGATGATTATTAGTCAGCCCTGGCCCCATCTCTGCCTCTGACACAAAGCACTTGTCAGAGCCTTCCCCAGACTCCAGGACTGGCCCATGTTCCACCCCAACCTCCTCACTGTCCAAATCTGCTGCCAGCTCTGCTGGCTGCTGATGGGCCACAGCACCATCTTCCCAATCCCTTAGTGATTGGCAGCATCTCTCTTAACTTTCAGGTTTCCCAAACAGGTCAAACTGTCCCATTATATGCTCTAAGCTTGTTCGTTGATTCAAGCAGAGGAGTACCTGTATCTTGAAGGTGATTGCTACCTTTTTCAATTTCCATACATGCCTACGCACCTTCACAGGTTCTCATGTGGCTCCTTGGGAAAATGAATTGCCCACCCCAGTAAGTTTCTCACTTACAACGCAGGATCGTCTCTTTGATTTGTCGGAAACTGCTCTCCTGGAGCACCACGCTGATGTAGTAAATGCATCGGAGTTCCCTGGGGTAATCCTTGCGGTCTATATCCTTCAGCACAGGGATGGTACGCCCATTCGCCATGGGCGCCTCGGTCAAGGCGTGGTGCATCTGATAGCAACACCAAGGATCCTTTAGGAAGTTGGGTGTGATCAACAGCACCCAACAATGGCTGTTCTGGACGGCGTTGCACAGCTCTGTCACCACAGCCCCACCTGGAACAGAGTCCCGCAGCTGAAGAAAGCAACGGAAACGTTCGGGCTGCTTCTCCAAGTAGGCCACCAGCTCTTCCACAAACTCAAGGTCGCCCTCGCTGTGACAAATGCAGACATCGTATAACTTGCTCCATCGGGCACTGTCAGAATTGCTCACAATCCGGGCGATAGAGGAAACCAGTTTGGGGCTGCTGGTCAAGCTCCGAGGAAGCGAACTAGGACTTTTCTGCACGGGAGGTGAAGGCGAGGAAGGAGAACACCCAGGAATACCATTTGAGGCATCCGGCCTCTTCTTGGGTTTCTGCAGCAATGTCTTGAACCAGCCTGCACAAATCAGAAATAGGCGGGTGTTGAGGAAGCCAGCTCCTGAAGCTTTAACCAAAGGTACCATCTCTTTGTTTACCACTTTTTTTGTAACAAAACAATGTTTAATCTTAAAAAAGAAACTTATAAAAAATTTAAACTGACAAGCTAAAAATGCAAACTAAGAAGGAAAAGGGGAAAAAAGCTACTTATATTTTATTCTTATCAATAGTCACTGGTTCATCAATGAATTCACTACTGTAACACAAACCGTGTAAGATATCGCTGAAAGATATGAAAGAATGTCTACCATACAGGTAGACCTTGACCTACAATCATTCGGCAATTGTGATTCTTTGGAACAGGGTCCAATCAGAGACATGTCTTTGATTCAGGGGTAGGATTCAAATTTCTTAACCGGTTCTGTAGGCATGGCCTAATTTGAGGGTGTGCTTTGGTGGTCACATGACTGGTTGGGTGTGGCTTGTATGTAAATATTGTAAATATTTACGTAAATGTTCAATTTTTTATAAAAAAAAGAGCAACTTTTACCCAAAATCAGGCAAAGCAGGCAGGCAGATTGTGATGACCCATAGTCTCTCAAAATAACCCAAAACCCAAAACATACATTAAAGTCCGGTAACGCCTTCAACTTACTTCACTGTTTTATTAGGCACAGTTTAAAGTCACAAAAGTAAATAATGAGGCAAAAGGAAACCAAAAACAAACCACATTGACGAAGCAAGCCAAGATAATTAATCATATATTCCAGGAAGATAACCAGGGAGAGTCCATGGGAAGAACGCCAACAAAGATAAACCTCATTCAAAGGAAGCACTAAATTTGACTCCAGCAATTCTGACTACGCAGTTACAAACTTATATACATAGTTCCCAGCTGCAAGCCATGAGGAGTATCATGGTAATCTCCTCCTGAGTAGACCTCGCTTTTCCCTGATCCTCTCCTCTGCGTGCCCTAGGATGGATAGGGGATGGGCCTGGATCCTCTTCTGATTGCTCAGCCGGCCTCTGCCCTTCCCCAGCCTCCTCCACCACCTCTGGAGCCACACTCCCACTCCCTGTTGGCTGTTCCTCCTCTTCCTCAGAGTCAGTCTCCACCAGGGGCATGACACAGATTGAGTTGCTCGCAGAATCACAGATTGACTCAGAGACCTATCTTTCGGCTATCTGCTGCCTGAGTCTGTCACACGCACATAAAATTTGCTTGCAAACAAACTCATAAAATTTGCTAGCAAGCAAACTCACAAAATTAACTCACAACATATCATGTATGTAAATATTGATTTTTTTATATAAAAAAGAGCAACGTTTACCCAAAATCAGGCAAAACAGGCAGGCAGATTGAGTTGCTCACAAAAATCACAGATTTACTCAGAGATCCACCTTTCTGCAATCTGTTACCTGAGTCCACACTGAAAAATGGAAGGTTCAGCTCTGCTTTTAGATTATCTAGAAAGCAAGAAATCCAAATAATTTCCTGCTTTCTAGATAATCTAGGCACAGCTGATAGTTGGAATAGCTGATGGTTGGGAAAGAAAAAAGGAAAAATAGCAACTTACCAAAAATTAGGCGGAGGCACAACACAGACAAATTGGATGGCACGCATGCCACGTAAGGAGTGAGTCAGCGGGAAGGGGAGGGGCCAGCCAGTGACGCTATTTGCCAGTTCTTCGAACTGCACAGAATCGTAACAACCAGTTCTATAGAACCGGTCCGACCAGGTAGAATCCCACCCCTGCTTTGGTTAATTATTAGGTGTCTATCTGCACTGAGTTCCATTTGCTGCATTTTAGCGTATTTCCACTTCTCCACGCAAAGCTAAAATTTCAAAAGTACAACAGACTGATACGGCTGGGCTGAATAATAGGCTCTCAATGCAGGTAGTTCTCAACTTACAACACTCAACTTCATTTAGTGACCATTCAAAGTTACAACGGCACTGAAAAAGCGACTTATTATGACCATTTTTCACACTTATGACTGGTCAGGTGAACAAAATTCAGATGCTTGGCAACTGACTCATATTTATGACGGTTGCAGTGTCCCAGGGATCACATGATCCCCCCTCTTATGACCTTCTGGCAAGGAAAATCCACGGGAAAGCCAGATTCATTTAATGACCGTGTTACTAACTTATCTGCTGTGATTCACTTAACAACTGTGGCAAGAAAGGTCATAAAATGGGGCAAAACTCACTTCACAAATGTCTCACTTTGCAAGAGAAATTTTGGCCTCAATTGGGGTTGCAAGTTGAGAACTACCTGTATCACTTTCCTGAACCTTCCTTCTGCTTCTTTTATGACCACAGTTGCCCTGTTATATATTGCTCAATAGTTGCTCAGCTAGTTCACTCCGGTATTTTCTAGATAAATCAAGAGGCCAAACAAATTCCACTCTTCCACAAAAGAATATGTGGCTGAACATTTGTTAAGTTGCAGCCCAATACATCTTGAAAAATGGTCAGTTAGTCAGTAGCAGAACACTGATCAAGTTTCTTTTAGCGCAGGGGTCTCCAACCTTGGCCACGTTAAGCCTGGAGGACTTCAACTCCCAGAATTCCCCAGCCAGCCAATTCTGGGAGTTGAAGTCCTCCAGGCTTAAAGTGGCCAAGGTTGGAAACCCCTATTTTAGTGGAACATAAAACGTGGCTGCTTTCACACATTCTTGCATGAAAGGAGAAGTTTAGGGTGAAGAAGTGTGGGAAGAACACTGAACGCACATGCACACTGACACTTCCTTACCTGCCATGTCCACCAGCAAGTCTCAACTGCCTTTCTTCCACGGGAGAAGAGTGCCACAGCTGTGCAGGCCACACATCACACTGGAACCCAACTCAGCTCTGCTCTTATTCTTGCCCCTGAGTCCTTTTCATCTACTTTGAAGTTCAACAGGAAAGAACAAAACAGGATTATCACATCTGCCAGATTCCAGGAGTCAGAAGCCATTCAGAAGCAAATATATACAGTGTAAACCAAGAATCTTCACACTTGCCAAGTTTAAGACTTGTGCACTTCAACTCCTGAGCTAACATGACTGGAGGAGAAATTCTGGCAGTTGAAGTCCACAAGTCTTAAAGCTGTCCAGTTTGAAGAACGCTGCTGTAAAGAGAAGCAGAGATAAAAACATATTTCAAAAGCTGATTTTCATTAAAGAAAATGGAGGAGAGGAGAATGAAAACGGAAGAACTTGCAGAAATGGCTTAAAATGACTTAGTTGGTTTAGGGACAAAACAGTAAGTAGTTTTTAAAAAATAAATAAAGATTGAAAACTCTGTTTGGACCTTTTGCTAAAAATGGATCACAGTGAACCGGCGGTCTCTGAGATCTGCTGGTCCAAAAGAGTCGATAAGAGAAGAGAACTGTTAGAATATTATCCTAAAGGGGGGGAAGAGCGCGTTTAAAAAGTTTGCAGCTGAGAAGATCGGAAGCCGCTTCGGTTTCTTACATTCCCCTCCTCCTCCCCTTCTAACTCTTTCTACTTTCGTTCTCTATTCTTCCCCATTTGTCTTTGGGCTAGATAAAACTTTCAACTCAAAAGAAAAAAGCTTTCCCGGAACCAGGGAAAGCCGAGGCGAGCAAAGCGCGGCGCGCAAAGCGAAACCTTGGACCATCGCGCGCCCCGGGCACCCTCGCCCACCTGCTCCCCGGCGCCAGGACCAACCGCTGGAGCCCCTTTTCCTTTCTTCCGCTACGAAGATCCGAGCGGGCCGGCGGCCGAACCATCCCTGCCCTACCCTACCCTACCATTCGAAGAAACTGAGCTGCTCGCCAACTTCCCCCTTGGCTTCTCCTACGAGGGCGCGACGCGTCTTCTCCACGCCCAGCACACATCCAGAGCTGCGCCAGGGATTCCGCAGGGGGGGGGGGGCAGGTTCTCACCCTGCCCGCCTGCCTGCCCGCCCGCCAGGCGGGGACCTCCTTCCCCTCCGCCCCGTGAGCGGTTCCCGCTGTTCCCGCTGCCCTTCGCCTTCGCCGGGCGATCCTCTGCAAAAGAGCCCGCGATCGCGCAACGCCGGCCTTCCTTGAACCGCGCAGAGGTTCCCTCCCGTGACGCCCGAGTTTCTAAGAGCCGCGCATTGAGCTTCAACCGGGCGGGGCTGCTGGGTGGCTGGATTCGGGCCGCAGCCCCCTTTGGGTACCCGGGTTATTGCCCGAAAACAACGCGCTGCACCCCCAAGGCAACCTCGGAGTTTCGTGTTGGGGTCGCCAGAAGGGGCGGCAGCTGCACCCACGCGCGGCAAATCCCCCCCTTCCCCAATTGCAGTTTCTTTCTTTTTTGCATTTTTATTGAGTTGAATAAAGTATTATAAAATACAAAAGTAAATAGAAAAGCAGTGGGGGGAGGGAGAAAGGGGGAGGAAGAGAAGTGAAAGATAGGAAAAGAAAAAAAAAGACGCATTCATTTGCTCTCTGTTACAGTAACATAAGGCATTCACATCAAATCACGACTTTTTGCTTTTTCATAATATGAACAAGCCATTTCTAGAGAGATCTCTCAGTCTAATGCAGGGGTCTTCCAACTTGGCAGCTTTAAGACTGGTGGACTTCAACTGCCAGAATTCCTCCTCCAGTCATGTTAGCTCAGGAATTCTGGGAGTTGAAGTCCACCAGTTTTAAAGTTGCCAAGTTTGAAGACCTCTGGTAGACTTTTGACATGGAGTCAGGTAGGTTTCGATTATCTTTACCTTATCTTCCAAAGGGTTTTCCTTTGCGGGCTACTTCTTGAAAAGTATTGAGGAAGATAAAATAATCTATTTCGCTTAAAGACTGTTCAGATCTACCTCTTTCTCTTATTCTAAGTCAGGGGTCTTCCAACTTGACAGCTTTAAGGCTTGTGGACTTCAACTGCCAGAATTCCTCCTCCAGTCATGTTAGCTCAGAAATTCTGGGAGTTGAAGTCCACCAGTCTTAAAGTTGCCAAGTTGGAAGACCCTTTGGTCTAATGGGTAAATCCCAAAGTCAGAGTTTCATTCTTCTCCACCTCAAGCAGGAAGCTCAGAAGCTTTGTCTCCATGTGGAAACAAAAGTACTTCTGTTCTTCAATGAAAGTGGTCACCTTTGCCATTTCAGCCAACTCCATCAACTTCTGCAACCATTTGCCTGTAGTGGGTATCGAAGCATTCCATTTTTGTGCATACAATAGTCTTGCTGCTGTCAACATATATAATAACAAAAAAAATGGAACTTTGTTATGGTAATTTCAGTTTCAATTTCAATGTCCAAAAGACAAATTAAGGTTTGCCCCAAGGAGCCTTTCATTGCTATTAAACCCAATTTTGGGATGCGGAAGCACAGAGACTCTGAATTGTTTGCATCCAGGGGTTTCTCAGCAGATGACCCAAAAGCCTAAACATGAGTGTTGCTCTTTGAAAATAACCAGGAGTTACAAGCCCTCGGAGGGAAGAGGAATTTGTGCTCAAGAACAGTTGCATTTGGGTGGCTGTTGCCTCCTGCAAAGACCATTTTCATTGACCAGCCGGATGGTAGGAGCTGTTCAGTTGATTGATGGATGGGCAGCTTTTACAGATGGTACTCAAATCGGTTTAACAAATCCAAATGGTTGGATCTCTGTAATGAACTAAGCAAAAACTTCATGGATTTGTACTACACATTATGGAAATATCAAAGTATTTATTTTGTTCATGTCCTGGAGAACATCTGTATGTGGTGGCTGAGTTGACAATTGACAGTGACTTGATGCCCAATTTTGTTGTAATTTAGCTCCTACCAAATTTCAGATGCTAAGGCCTTAGTTATTATATATTTGTGTTTTTTTATAGTTATAATGTACACTGAAGATGGCATTTAATTTCGTTGCATGAAGTGCAATAACAATAAACTAAACTAGTTGGAATGGTATTCCTTAGGAATTCCAGGGTTGTTGGCTGCACTGGCCAGCTGGAAAACATAGCAACCCATTTCTACAATTTAGCTAAAAACAGTCATCCAGGAGTTAAGCTGGAGTAATATGTCTTAGCTTCTTTGCTACCGGAACATATTTCCAAAATGAACTCTTGGCAAGAAATCTCACAAGAACTGGGAATGTGGTTTTTTTTTTAAATGAGGGATGGAAGAGAGTCTCAAAAATTATGATGCCAAGTACTGCAAAGGAAACTAAGAGTATGTAGGTTGAGGATATATTCAATGACAAACCTGTAAGATAGAAAGGAATAATTCAAATTCTCTGTTCCAAGAATTCTACTGTGCCTCAATGTATATGCAGAATGAACAGGAAGAAGTAAGAAAGTTAATTCAGGAAGGCAAATTAATTTCTTAATCCCTGATCCTTTGGCACCTTTCTGAAAAGAGAAAATAGCACTGTGAGATTGGTAAGCTTATCTCAGCAGGCAGGAGAGGGAAAGGATTAATTATTTGGGATGAATCTTCATCAGGCAAAAAACTAGCAGTCTTTCTTCAGCGCCCATGGAAGTATTTATCAGTTCAGTACATGGCAAAAAAAAAAAAAAAACAGCTTGAAAAGCTATACAAAAATTACTGCCGCCCAATTCACTGGTTGCGATATCCACTGTATCATGTAAGTATGACAAAATATTATTTATACGGTAAATGCTACAAAAGTAATTGTATGTTCTGCAACGTATGCACTTGGAAATAATTTGTTTTATTGGCTTACACTGTCAAAGGTGTTAAAAATTATTTGCACTGTGATGCACTAAACTCAGTACATCACTATTCTTGTAGAGTTACAGTTCCTGAGTCTGTGTCTAAAATCAACATGTTTTACAGTACATGATCCACATATGTTGGAAGAGAATGCTGATGGCACCTTCTCTGCATCTCACACTGTATTTATGTCCCAGTTGTGGTCCTCCTCCAAAACTCAATACAAAAATCAAATTAGGTACTTTGCAAGGTGATTGAAGTAGATATCTTAGGAGTAACCTTCAGCAGGAAAAACAAATTAAGATTTCCTATAGATTTGGTATCCTTCTGTGTTGTGGCTCGGAGGTTTGAGCCTGCTCTGTTAGAGGACGAAGACTTAGACAATGAGGAAGAGGAGGATTTGGCTCTGAGGTTTGAGCCTGCTTTGTTAGAGGATTTGGAGTTGCCTTCCTCCCCAGGACTTTCCTCTTCGGCAAGACCTTCCTCCCTGATTGTGCCTCAGGTGTCGGCAGATAACCAGGAGAGCGTATCAGAGCCTCTGACTGAAGATCAAGCTGAGGAATGCTGACTTGATGCGAGGCAACGGCGCAAGCAAAAGTGCGAGCTGCAACGCAGAAAGGAAGGACGAATCAGAGACTGAGATGAGGGACTGACACGCCCCACAGGGAATAAAAGTGGGTGTGTTCACTCTGGGAACTTGTTCGGGACGTGTTACTTAGTGAGAGAAGCTTCGGAAGTATCCTGTGTGCGGTGACAGCTTGTGATTTATATTCCTACTTTCTTGTCGGACTTGACAGACAGCTTGTGTGAGACTGCCAAGAACTTTATCAGCTCAAGGAATTTAACCCTGTAATTACTGGACTTGCTTGTTTGTATTCGGTTGGAAATTTGGACTTCTCACCTTGTTGGTACAGGTGAGACATAACATTTCTGCATATCAGGTACTGGAGATAAACTAGGGAACGGAGAGTTTCTTTCTTAGATTTCTGGCTGGGGAATTCTGGGAATTGGAGTTCACCCATCTTAACATTTCCAGTTTGAGAAAGACTGTCTAGAGCAGGGGACTCCAACCTTAGCAACTTTAAGACTTGTGGACTTCAAGTGGGAATTGAAGTCCCCAAGTCTTAAAGTTGCTAAAGTTGGAGACCCCTGGTCTAAACGAATCTAGCTGATGAATGGCTGCAGGTAAGGCTTTATCCTCGTTAAACTTCTATTTCAGTCCAAGACATCCTATTCTTGATCTAAATTTTGACTTGAAGGAGGGAGAAGGGAGAGGTGTTTAAAAAGCGGCCTGGTTGAGTCGTTTCCTTTTGTCTCCTTTTAGCCACATTCCTGGAATAACTTCCTTTTTCTTCTAACACTGAGCAGTGTTAGCAGTAAGCAGACACCAGAGTCCTAGTAGGCCAAACAGCGGAGGAAGAGGTACAAGAGGGACAGCAGATCTTTTGTCATCTCCTTCCTCTTTCTCTAAAGTCCTCTGCTGAAAGAGAAGCTTAAGCTCTAAAGCACAGGAGAAGTGACAAAGGAGAGCAGAAGTAGAGCTGGCGAGGGGAAAACCCCTCTCCTCCACGAGTCTCCTCTTCAATTTCGGGTTCCGCGAGCTTTGATCACAGCAGCATCAGCATTTGATCGCTCTTCGGTTACTCCGAGTTATTCTGCGCAGAACAGACCCATTCAAATGAGCTGCAGCTGCTGCCATATCACAGTCAGAGCAACTTCCTGGTGCTGGATGCAATGACTAGGCCTGACGATAAAAAGTAGGGAGAGAATAAAACGATGAAGACTCAGCTCTTCAAATGAATCCCAACTTGGGTGGCATTAGACTATATTTCTTTCCAGGAGCTTCTCATCTTTGATAAGCCTATCGAAGGAGAATCTCTCCAGGTTGATGGTCTTATATTTAAGGTCAAGAATGAGCTCGGCTACGGCTTGTCCCACTGCTGGGGCATGCTGTAACCCATGTCCACTGAAGCCTGAAGCAAAGTAGAGGTTTGACACTTGTGGGTGCCTGCCAATCACAGGATTCTGATCAAACGTATTGTAGTCGTAGTAACCGGCCCAGGAGCTTTTCACCTGCCAGAAATAGAGATCAATTTCTTGTTAGTCCTGAGCATGATGTACAATGGATTGAGAGACAAGTCTGAAGGGTAAAGAATATAAAAGCCCACACACACCACAAAAAACCCATGGAGAGCTGGTTTCTTAAGCAGTTGGTTGGCTGATCTAATCCGAGTCATGTCAACGGAATACTTAGGTTAGGAATTCAATTCTAACTAGCTGCGCCCAACTAAAAACAAGCTTAAACAGGAGACATAAATGGAGGAGAAAGATAACAAAGAAGGATCCTTTTCCAAATACTGAAAATTTGAATCTTGACTTTAAATTGATATAACCAGCAGATAAGCCTTTTGCTGTGCTGGATAATCTAGAACAGGGGTGTCAAACGCAAGGCCCACGGGCCAGATCTGGCCGGCGAGACCATCCTGGAAACAGTGAAGGCCTGGCACGCGGCCCTCCCAAGCTCTGTTTTGCTGGCAGAGGGTTGCAAGACGCCATCATGGCTGAAAACTGAGCTCAGGAGCCCGTTTTTGTTGGCAGACCACTCGGGACGCCACAGGTGCCCCCGACATGAGTGACATAGAGTTGGCCATGCCCACCCAGCCTCCCGAAGTCACACATAACCCTGATGCAGCCTTCAATGAAATTGAGTTGGCACCCTTGATCTAGAATATATATATATTACCAAGTAACCTTGTACTGTAGAACCTCTCACAAACGCTTTTGACTATGATCAAATCGGGTTCCGACCAAAAAATCCACATTTTTTTCCCCCCAGGGCCGATTTCCCCTTCCGCACCATTTTTTTTGTAAGTGCCAAATTTCCAAAATTAGTTTCAGATCACGACCAAATCGGGTTGCGACCAAGTTATAGAATGAATTATAGTTGTGACCAGGGGTTCTGCTGCATGCAGTTCTGACAACAGTGCTAAACAGTTCTACAGTCAACTCATCCAATTAAACGAAGTGTTGTAGAATATTAAGCCCAGCTCAAAATGTACTAAGATAGGAAAGGACTTTTTATCCTGTCTGTTACTGTGTGCTTGGGTGAACTGTTGTAAGGAAATTTAAGATGAGCCACTCTCATTGTACACATGTATTGTGACAATAAAGGTAAATAATAAAGGTGCTAACTTCTCAGGGTTTTTTTTTCACTACTTAACCAATATCTTACCTTCAAAGATTCAAAGCACGGCAGTCGGTGGGCAAGCTTAGGCCAGACTTTTTCCTGGAAGAACTCATGGTCTACCTCCAAATTTTCAATATCTGGCTCTTCTTCCTGAAAAGTAAACACAGACCTCATAACTCTACCAACAAGATAAGTATCCACAAAGATTAAGAGTATTCAATCTGATTTGTACAGTAGTCTTCGATTTATGACCCCAATTGTGAACAGAATGTCTGTCCATAAACAAGGTGGATGTTAAGTAAGCCACACCGACTTTTACAACCTTTTTTTCTTGCAGTTGTTAAGCAAATCTGGTTGCCCTTTTTAATTTCGCTCGCCAGAAGCCAGCTGGAAAAGACTCCAAGATGCTGCAATCATTATGAATATATGCCAGTTGCTATGTCAAGTGGATATGTTCACATGACCACAGGGATGGTCATTAAGTTTTTTTTTTTTTCAGCGCTATCATAACTTGGAAGTCACTAAACAAGAGGTTGTAAGTCAAGGACCACCTGAATCTTGAATTCCTCCTAGAAAAGCAATCCTTTTAAGATGGGTCATCCCAAAAGGGTAAAAATGAACTTAAGAAACAATAGCGAAGCCTGAACCAGCAGCATGAAGTTTCAACGAGTTTTGAGTACACTAAAAATTGAAAACAAAATCCAAGTTGCTCAAGAATGGTATTTACACTATGAGGTGAAATTCAGAACTCAGATTTAAGTTCCTGCCGAAACACAATAGTTCCTGCACGGTTTTCTGGCATTCCCTTGATACCTACTGTTAGAATTGCTATGATGATGAAACTACAGTATTTATTATAAAATTGGGAAACAAGGTGGAAATCCGAGAATTTAAGAAGAGGAAGGGCTTTAGAAAACTCTTGATTCTTATTAGAACCAGACCAGATACACTTGTCACTTTAACCCTAAAGAATCTTTACAAACCTGGTAGAAAACTGTCCCCAAAGCCCTGATAAACTCACTTCTGTTGGGCTTAAGCCTCCAAGATAGTTGCCACCCAAACCTTCTCTTCGGAAATACGCTCCAGTGGTGTCAATGAGGAATGGGCACTCCAAGCTGGGTCCCTCAGGGCAGTGCCAGACATAGACATACCTAGGAGCGAAGGGATAAAGAGACGCTCTTGCAGTATTTCCAGTGGTGGGATTCAACCGGTGTAACAACCAGTTCGGTGAGTGCGCCCTTTGCGCGCACATGGTGCATTTGAAAACAACTCTAAAACTTACCTTCTACTGCAGCCCCGGTGAGTAAAATAGCTGAGGCGCAGCAATCCGCGCGGATCAGCTGGGCTTCAAACAAAGGAAATATAAGACAGACTAGCACAGGGGCGGGGGAGGCGGGCCCAACTGGTGAGTTGGAAGGAGAGCAAGAATAGAAGCGAACAGCTGCAAAAGAGGTAACAATACCACAAGACACAAGAGTCCGTACCTTGTTAGTTTCACACACTAAGGAAAACACTGAGTATCGTTTGACTTGTTTGCTAAAATATGAAGTTGCCTTGAACCAACAGTTTTGCATTTGTCTATTCTGGTATGGTTTAGTCTAGCTGGTCGCAGCTTTTTGCTCACTCTTCTCTCAGAAAATACTTTCCTGGCAATACCTCCTTAGATCTTTTCCATTTCATAGGCCAGGGATTAAATTTGGCCAAAGAGAGGGATCAAAAGATCAGTGGGTACAGGTAGTCCTCGAGTTATGAATGTAGTGGAGCCTGCCCTTTCCATGTATCACCCGAGGATTCGTGGGAGTAAATCTCATACCTTAAATGCGACCATTCCCTCCTTTCGCCCAGGTATTCGCTAATCGAATGCACAATTTATTAAGTGCACATGAGGTATTTCAGGGTGGGAAAGACCAGGGGAGGGGACTAGTGATGGAACAAGCCACCTGTTTAAGACCACCCAAGGCCTCCCCGACCCACTGAAATACGAATGACTGACTGACTGACTGAATTCTTTATTGGCCAAGTGTGATTAGACACACAAGGGATTTGTCTTGCTGCATATAATGCCTCATGCTCCCCACAACTGCTTTCCCCCTACTCAAACCTACTGCGCTGGGTCACTTACTGTGCGAAGATCTAGCAAGTTGTCTCCAGCCTCTCAGCCATATGTGCCCCTCCACAGCTCTGTTTAGGCCTATTCAGGCCTCACCCGGCACTGCGCAGGCCCAAACGGAGTGTTGGAGGGGCGGGCCCACTCCTCCAAATCTCCATTTTGACCTGCAAAGTGCAGGACAAATGTTGCAGAGCCTCTGTGGTTGTTCGTAAGGGGTAACAACTGCCCTGGTGCTACAAAATTTGCAGTTTTGGAACTTGTTCTTAAACACTAGAGGGCGCTGTCCACATAACTTTGATGTTCGCTAAAGGGGATTACCAGTACTGTAAAAATGAGCTGTAGGCAGGTTATCTATTTTAGGCACGATCATCAGCATATTTAGGGGAATGCAGGCCAAAGACGATAAGCTATCTACCTAAAGGAGGAGGAAATTAAAACGTATCCTGAGTAGCAGCTGAGAAATGTAATAGAAACTGCAATCCTTAAACTCCAATTGGAAATATACGGATCTCCACGCCTTGCCAAATGCATGCTACCTTAATTGGATGGTTGGATTCACACAATACACTATGCCAGAAACCCCAATTTGCCAGAAAACCTCAACAGCTCTGTTAGTGTTTGGGGATAAACCCCTAGCAGAGTATGCAGCAGCAGTCAAGCCAGGCAGCCAAATGAGAGAGGAAAGGTTTTAGAGTATACACACACTGAACACAAACACTGTTTGTAGTTTAAATAGTTTTTAATCCAGTTAGAGTTTAAGCATTGTCAATCAGTCCGTATGTCATTCACAATATATCCATTCAGTAAGACTCACTAAGTCAGTCCAGATAATAATCCTTACTATATCTTTATCAGCCGATAAAGATACCTTCTCCTCCTCCGATGCTTTTCTCCAGAGGATAACGCTGGATATTCAGTAGTACGATCAAACAGTAGACAGTCGCAGTAAAACAGTAATAAACAGGTGTATCCAGCAGTAAACAGCAGTAAACAGTAAACAGTAAAGCACTATGCAGTAAGCAGCAGGCAATAGGCAGCAGTCAGTAAGTAGCAAGCTTTCTCCTGCTTCCTCTTATTGCAGTTTCTAACCGCACCCTTAATTGGCTAATTACATGCAGTGTGGTGCTTAAAGTTACAAACACTTAAACTATGATACCTTAGTTTATATATTTATCCACCCAAACCTTGTTGGGTATCAATGTTATACCTAACAAGCTCAGTTCAAACATTATAATAAATCAGGTTTTGCTCTTTGGGTCAAAGAAATACATGCTGTACAGGTAATGGAACTTAACCTCACCTTTTCTTGGGTTCTACTGGAAACTTGACCCCTGCTGGGTTGTTTTCGGATGGAGCCCCAATGCCAGCCATCTCAGCCACTTTGCCTGACCAGGCTCCTGCCGCATTTACCACTATACAACAGTCTACCTTGGCACGTTCAAAACTTTCGGGCAACTGGACCTACCAGTAGAAGATTAAGGGCAACAAAAGAGCAGGTGAGATTATACCAAGCAGTTAGATGGTCCACTAACAAACCGATACCTCTTCCAACAGGAACAGGAAAGCAAAAAGGGAAGAACAAATGAAGCATTTGCTCTACAGCTAATGAAAAGATGATGCTTCATGTTGAACTTCCTTTGCAGCCTTCTCTCCTCCCTTTTCTGTCCCAAGAGTGTTCAAAATAAATCTCAGGAAACTTTAAGGACCCCTCTCCAGAAACCAACCCCCTGAATGAACTTCCTAGGTCTTCCCCCATGCATTGGCCCTGGGTGTTTTTTATTCTAATCTCATCCGTGGATAGCTGTAGCTTTAGCTATCCTATCTACTGTACATACGCATATACATACACACAAATATATACAGGTAAGTCCTTGACTTACAATTCAATGGGGAAGCCAGATTCACTTAACAACTGGGTTACTTTTTTCCCCCTAGTTTCGCTTCTTCCAAATATTTTTTATGTTGTTTCTTAATATGTGTTTCTTGAAGGCATATTATATCAGCTTTTTGTTTATACAGGTTTGTAAAAATTTGTTTTATTTTTATTGGAGAGTTTAATCTGTTTATGTTCACAGATACTAATTTTATCTCTTCATTCATTTTATTGTCTATGCTGTTGCCTCTGTCTTCCTGTTTACCGTTTTCTCTTTGTGCTCTTGTTCTAATCTTCTTTCTTCCTGTTCTACTTCCTCTTTGCTTCTAACTCTTCTTCTTTGGGTTGCTGTTCCTCTAGGCTTCTACTTTCTGATTCTTCGTTTCCAAGTTCTTCTATTATCATAAGTTGGTCATAGAAGTCCTGTGCTTTTCCTAGGTTATCAATTCTTATTTTCTTCTCCTGCCAACATGCCTTCCGGTATAAACCACCTGAATGGTATACTGTGATTTATTAGTTGTGTTGATAGGAAGACATAGTCTCTCCTCTGTTCCCTCACACATCTGCGTATCTGTTTCAATGTCAGGACTACTTTGCCTTTGTATGATATAGGTTCTTCCCTTGTAGCTTTGTAGATCTCATCTCTTGCTTTTTTTGAGAATCTGATGTGGACTTCCCTCGGCAGTTTGTGGCACCAGGCGTAATTTGTATGTACCCTATAGATCTCATCGATTTCATTTTAAATTTCTTGTCTCCCTTTTTGTCACTTCTGCTAATAGTTCGGACATTATGGTTTTCAGGTCCTCTTCTTTGTTTTCCGTAATATTTTGAAAGCGCAAGTAGAAAGCCGATTGTTCCACCTCTAAATTGATAATGGATTCTTCTAAATCTCTATTTATTGTCATTAATCTCTGGTCCACCTCTTCCAATTTCTTCTCTGCCTGTTCCGTTCTATTTTCTACCACTCATATTTTATGCTCCTTTTTTTCCGATTACATGTTGGATTATGCCTACTCTGTTGCCCAATTTGTTGTATATCTCCTTTCATTTCCCCGATCTCATTCTTCATGGTTTTTATTCATCGATTCTTGCATTTTTATATGCATGGTTTCCTGTATTGCCAATAGAGTCGTCAGCATCATCTGCATATTGGAAGTGCTACTTGGTTTTTCTGCACTAAGCATACTTTCTATAGATCTTTGGCCCAAGGGTGATGCTGATGTCAAAGAGGGATTTCAGGGAGTCTTTTTTTCCAACTCTTAAAGTTGTTGTTATGGCTGTCATCTTTAAGAATTTATATATATTTCTCCACTCCACCATCCACTGTATATTTTTCTTTGATTTAATCTTTTACTTTACTTTGCTTTCTAATATTATTACACTCAGTTTCAGTTATTCAACCCTTTTTTCTTCCTACTTTATCAATTCTATTCTCCGCTTACTTTTTCCAGTTACAAATTGTTCTTCCAAATATTTTTTTGTTAACAATCCAACAGATTTATCTATCTTAACAATTAATTTTTATCCATAAATCAAAGCTTTGAAAATATATTCTATTCCTATTAATTTTTATATTATAATTATCCTTGTTAATCTATTAGCATTCATAGTACATATCCTAACAGAAGCAAGAATAACCTATGCTCAAAGTTGGAAACTAGATAGCACCCCTACAGATAGTTTGATTATAAAGAAAATTATGGATTGCGCAGAAATGGTGAAACTCACATTCGAATTACAAGAGAGGGAAGAGAAGGAATACTATACAGAATGGGGAAATGGTACAGTTGGCTGGATGATAGGACAGCAAAAATAAAAGTACAAACAAATAAATGTATATATAAATATATAGGTAGGTAATTAATAAACATAGAGAAAATAGATGTCACAACATTGTAAAAATTGTATTTGTGTTGTTTTGTTGTTGTGTTGTTTTTAACTCTGTAAAATTCAACAAAAATGTATTTAAAAAAAAAAGAACTGGGTTACTAAGTTATTACCTGCAGTGATTCACTTCTCAATTGTGGCAAGAAAGATTGTAAAATGGGACAAAACTCACTTAACAGAAACGTTGGGCACAATTGTGATCGTAAGTTGAGGACTACCTATATGCATTGGTTTAATAATGTAAGTTGTCCAAGGTATATGTTATGAGTGGGGTGGCTTTCCAATTTCCATAAAGCCAATCAATCAATCAATGATGATACAAATTGAACTAATGTTGATGCCACATCAGTGGGCCTTAAGTTATAATTTTATCAGTAGCAATAAACAGACCACAGGTAGCCCTAGATTTGCGAACAGAACCGAGCCCAAGATTTCTGTTGCTAAGCAACAGAGGTGAGTTTTGCCCCATCTTACACTCTTTCTTTGCCACAGTTGCTAAGTGAATCACTGCAGCTGTTAAGTTAGTAATCCAGTTGTTTGGTGAATCTGTCTTCCCCACTGACACTGCTTGTCAGACAGTCATAAATATGAAGCAGCTGCCAGGCATCCGAATTTTAATCATGTGACTATGGGGATGCTGCAATGGATATAGGTGAAAATCAGTCCTAAGTCACTTTTATTCAGTGCCATTATAACTTCAAACAGTCACTAAACAAATGGTTGTAAACCAAGGACAACTTGCACTGATTTGTTACCGTGTTCAACAGGCATATTGTCTTGCCTTTTAAAATGCTTTATGTCTTGTTCCCTTGAGCCATTGATGAAGACAGCATCCAAGAGGAAAGCAAAAATATACATTAGGTAGGCAGAAATATATCACCCTCTTTTAACAACCTCATGATCCCTTGATGGTGCAGAGTCTGGGCAACTGAATGGAGCTGGCCGGATGCCCTTCCTGTTGCCAATGCGGAGTTTCGTTTGGCAGATATATTCTCATTGTGCCCAAAGAGAGAAATATCTGCCTCTACCTAGGGTCGAACTCACAGCCTCCTGATTGTGAGGCAAGAGCTCCACCACTAGGCCACCGCAACGCTCCTAAGCAGAAAATATATGCTTTTATGTAATTCATGAGGTGCATAACCCGGCCCTAAAATAATGACTCACATTGACAGCTTTAATACACGAGGCTTTACAATGCTGATCTTTAATCTTCATTTCATAAAAACCCGAGTTGAAAGCTGTAGGAGAGGGGAAAAAAAGATGGAGAAGGCGGTAAAATAACTGCCGTTGATTCATTCCTGAAATATAAAGATCTTTTTTAAAAAAACTTCCTTGCTATTTACAATTATTTATTTAAAACATATAACTCTTCCTATCAGATTAGCATGTTTTATAGCATGAACCAAACCCTATGTCATGCCCTTGTTGGAGTCAGAGGGAGTGGAGGAACAGCTGACAGGGAGTGGGAGTGCGGCTCCGGTGGTTGTGGTGGAGGCTGGGGAGGGGCAGAGGCCGGCTGGCAGTCAGAGGAAGAACCAGGCCCATCCTCTCTTCATCCTAGGACACGCAGGGAGGAATGGAGAAGGAAACAACTTGGCTTACGAGAGAGGAAGTGGCCATGATTCCCCTCATTGGTTGCAGCTGGGGAGAATAGTATATAAGAGATACGGTTACAACACAGCGTTGCCAGAAGCAAAGCGTTTTATTTTGGGCTGAAGTTATCTTGGTTGGCGTCCTTCCAACAGACTGTGCCTTGTTATATACTTGAAGTTGGTAATTACTTATCCTGGTCTGTTGTGGAATTTCCTTCATTGGGGTTTGTTTTAGTTTTAATTTCACCTCTATCTGCTCATTAAGTTCGGACTGTATTGCTTTCTTTTGAAGACTATTTTTGAGTACGTTTTATCTCCAACTGAGAATTATTGAACAGTGGGGCCAAGTTGGAGGCATTAAAGGACATTTATTTACGTTTTGGATTTTGTTACGTTTGTGTTACACTCCAGGTCATCACACCCTAACCCTAAAACGTTTCTCTTACAAATATTTTTTTAAAGATTATTTGTTTTCTTCAAATCAATCAATCAAGGCTACTGAAATGCCTAGATAAAGTTTTTAGAATGGAGGCGGGGGGAGGGAGGTTGAGGAAAATTATAATAGTGCCAATACTAAATGTCTTAGGGATATTTTGAAGTTTCTCTCCTTCCTAACTAAATGGCTGCACTTCAGCCAAGTGCCTTAGCAAATCTTAATTATCTTTTGCTAATTATCTCCAGATATGTTCAGATTAAAACTTCAATATTGGTGCCAGGCTGGAAAAAAAAACCCTTCTATGGTAAGACACAGAATAATCATGCTTTCTCAGAGCAGCTCAAATGTTACCTGATACCTGGAATTGTGCAAAGTATAAAATTCTTCTCCCCCCCCCATTGGTAAAATGCTGCCTGATAGCATGGAGGGAGGGAGGATAAAGGCCTCCTAATATAGGTAAAGTCCTCAATTTACAACCATTTGTTTAGTGGCCGCTCTAAGCTACAGCAGGGCTGAAAAAAGCAACTTACAAACATTTTTCACACTCGCAACTGGGTTAGTGGCCTCATGGTCATGTGATCAAAATTCGGGCACCTGTCAATTGGCATGTTTTTATGACGGTTGCAGTGTCACGGAGTCATGTGATCACCTTCTCACAAGCCAAGCCAATGGGGGAGCCAGGTTCACTTAACAATTGCGTTATTACCTTAACAGCTGCAGCAATTCCCTTAACAACTGTGGCAAGAAAGGTTGTAAAACGGGGCAAAACTCCAAAACTGATTCTGATTATTTTTCCCCACAGTAATGACAATAGAATAGAATAGGAGAACAGTATATACAGTAGAGTAGAATAGAAGAATAGAATATAGAGTAGAGTAGGAATAGGAATAGGAGTGGAGTGGAATAGAATAGATATTGGAATGTAAAAGAGAATGGAATAGCATAGAATGGAATGGAATAGAATAGAAGCTGGAAGGGACCTTGAAGGTCTTCTAGTCCAGCCCCCTGCTCAAGCAGAACCTATATCATTTCAGACAAGCGACTGTCCCGTCTCTTCTTAAAAACCTCCAGTGATGGACCGTCCATGATTTCTGAAGGCAACTTCTGTTTCACTGGTTATGATTGTCCTCACTGTTAGGAAATTTCTCCTTGATTCCAGGTTTGCTTCTCTCTTTGATTATTTTCCAACTGACTCCAAGTATAGAGAACACTACTTTGATTCAACCCATTAGACTCTCATGAATCCGCTTCCAGGTAATGTACCTTAGAAAATATTCCTGTTGGCAATAAAGCTATGTCCTGGCTACAGCAGGGAGCACAAAGGAAAACGCTTACATGTCACTTCTCCGTGATACTGGAGCGTGCCCAGAGAGATGGCTTTTCTCTTGAATGCGTTGAGAAGAGACCAGGGATCAAACCAGCCCTCATTTTCCAAGCCTGAAGGAAAAGTCAGGGAAAGGATACAAGAAAAATGGTAGGAATGCAAACCTTGGCATTTAAATGTTAACAGCAAATGTTAGACAAAGGCCAACTCGACAAGAATTCTAAACTGCAACGTAATATAACTGGTTGGGAATTAGACTGACCACAAGCACTGAAATGTGTCATTCATGGCTTAGACCAGGGATCCCCAACTTTTTTGACGCCGCGGCCCGGTTCCGGCGTCAGCTGGGCGCCGCGGCCCGGTTCCGGCGTCAGCTGGGCGCCGCCATCTTTTTTGACGAAAAATTGCTTTTTTTACCAAAAAAAGATGGCGGCGCCCAGCAACCAGCGGCCCGGTAAGGCTTGTTCCGCGGCCCGGTACCGGTCCGCGGACCGGCGGTTGGGGACCCCTGGCTTAGACAGTGCATGAATCCCATTGTGCTTTGCTCAGTAACCGCATTTGAGATAATTCTATGAGTTATTAGCAGGTACCAAATATTAATTTGGTCAGCACCGTGCATCATTTTAGAGAAGTGGGAGTTATGATCTTTTTTGCTAGATGCATGGCATAAAAAACAAACTCAAAGTCCTTTGATGACTCATTGATAAATTTAGAAAAAAAACCTTTGTCCCCAAAGTTCTTATCTGCAGGTTTTGAATGCTTGTGCTTGGTCACGGATTGAAATATGGGCAAATTAATGAATAATTGGACTATGCAGCCTTGGCTAGGTAGTTTTAAGAGAAATAATTAGCAGACAGGGTCACACAAGTGGCCTGGGCTCAATATATAACAGCAACACTTTCATCCCACAAAGGACACATTCCTGTTGCAAATTCAACAGAGGGAAGTTTGCGTAAAGCTGAATTTGCTCTCTTAACTAGTAAGGATTTGGAAGGAGTGAAAGCCACAAAGCCTCAGAATGGTAATTGCTTCAGTTGAACTGGGAACTGAAAAACCAGGTGACAGAACTACTATCTGCAGGCAGACTGCAAGTAGGAAAACAAAATTGACCGTCCGGTTTTGGAATCCAAGTGATTTCAGCCTACAAAAAAAGGCTCCTTGTCTTTAGCCTGCAATTTTGTAGTCAAAATAGTGATTGTTAGGAATGTAAGTCACCTAACAGCTATTTAGGTTGGAAATATATCAGCCAGGATAGACATTTTAATAGTCTCTTTAAGGGAATCCTAAAAGTGTAATTGGGTGTGGTTTCTCAAACGGCCATAAGATGGAGCCAGAAACCTGGGTTGTCTTAGTCTTAGTCTCAGAAGTGAGTGAGTCTGTTTTTCCTTCTGTTGGAGGTTAATTGACTGATATTCCTGGATTTGATGTAAGTCTGTTACTGAGCTGTTTTTGACACTGGACTTTGTTATTGGATTATCCCTGGACTGAAAACTGACTGATCTTACCTGTGAATGACTTTGGACTGCTTATCTTGAACTTTGCTTAACGTTTCTGGAAGTAAAACCTACATTTACTGTACAGTGTATCTGTGTGCTGTGTGTGTATTATTCAAACACTTCTCTCAAATACGTCTCCCTGTATGCGCTCATTCTGCTAACAGGGAATTACCTCAACAGTGATGCTGCCATTTTGCTTTAGGATAAGGGATAAGATAAAGAATTAGCAGTTGGTACCATAAGAAGCCAGAGCTACGTCATCAGTGTTCAACCATGGAAATTTCTTTTTCAGTTGTGCTGGTGAAAGCAGAGAGACAGCTACGCCTTCCTTTCTAATAAAGGATAAAATAAAAATTAGATACCTTTCACTACAACTTTTAGGAACTCAGACTACTAAAAATATTTATCAGCCCTGAAATCATTTTTCCCTGGCACCTTCAGGGCTGCCACAGTGGAGATAAGTGGAGCTGGGGGAAGAGGAGGGGAGAGGTAGAGATAACTGTGGGATTGTAGCCAAAGTAGTATTCTTTCCTCTGAGAACCGAGGACCTTCCCACAGGTGCGAGGAGGTGGGATCTGAGACCAACTGACCTCCGGACTGTGGCCTGATTGGACCACGCAATGGATTGCATGGGCAGGGGAAAAAAAAACCTTACTTTTAAGTAGGGGGAAATCCAAGGGAGGGGTTAGAGTTGGGCTTCCCCAGATGTGCCAATATGACATGCCTAATAAATCTGTGCTTTGAGGAAGATGCCTGCCTTGGAGTTTTGATTCCATTGGGTGGGTAAATTGGAACCCTGACAATATTAATTTTTGATCCAATATTAATTTTTGATCAATTTTTAAAAAAGGCCCAAATTGGAAGTTCTACTGAAAATCTACAAGGCGAAAAAGATATTTCTCCAAAATTGACAATTTGGCAGATCCCAAAGCTCCATCAATTCTACTTGCGAAGCCAGCCATGCAATCTCATTGAATCATGGTGGACTAACAGAGCGACCACCAACGTTTTGGGCCCCTGGGACCGGTTCCATGGAGAGAGGTCTTTCTGCAGCATGCCGCGGTCCAGTGCCTTTTCATGGACTGGGGGATGGGGATCCCTGGACTAACAGGTTCATTGACAGAGTCTGGCAAGTGATGAATCTAAGAACTCATTTGGGTCTCCTCAGGCCACCTGGTTTCCCACAAGATGCTGGTTTCCTCCTTTGCTCTTGTATGAGGCCTGATATTCCCCCTGCTGCATTCCTAATAATTTTCTCCCCAGGGAGAAAGATGAGTTTGGTTGAAAATAAGCTACTTGTGAAGAGTTTAAGACCAAACATTTCCATCTATCCATATGAGAAACAATAAATGGTGAGGACAAATAATGGTTTGCCTAACAATTTCTTTGCTCATAAATCGAAACAAGCCACCTTAGGGCCTTTCATACATGAATCAAGTACTGATTTGAAACCAAAGTACCATCATCCTTAACCAACAGTTATTTTGGGGTACATATATGTGTGTATATACAAGGTTCTAAACATAATTTCTTTTGTTGTATTACTTTGTTTTCCATTTTATTGTTTTATCCTTGTTCTCTTCCTTCCATTTTATTTATTTAAGCACCAAATACAGTTAACATCCACTTTTCTTGGATTACAGCAAATGAATAGAAGATGTGTATTAATAGAAAATAAGATAATCTGAGTAATCCAAAGAGACAACCACTGTGCTTGTAGAGCAAAATGTGGTAAAAAGAAAAAAATATTCATGCCCTGTGTTAACACCTTTCTCAATCAGATACCCAAAAGAGCCCAACCTTTGAAGGTTTACGTTCTCCTCCAAAACAGCAGCTTCATTCTCTGAAGCGAGAAAGAGATAACCCGAATGATTAAACTGAATATCAATGGGTGGTTCCCCAACAACACCAAGATGTTCCTGGAATGAATAAACAAAGGGATAGAGTGAAAATTATCAAGTCAACTTAGTTAATCCCATGCACCCTCTATATCACACAAGGCAAATAATAGTTTATGCAACTATATTTTGCTTGGAATTCAAAATGGGGGGAAATCAGGAATTACATACGTATCTATATTACTTTTCATAGGTTTCCTTATGGGGGCGTTGTTAATATTTATAAATATTAGGTATTTTGGGCACTAAACTCAAAGATTTGTACTTCTTTTTCATGTCAAAAAGACAATGCAACATACTTTGGTATGGTTTGCATTTTCTGGTTATATTAAGCATTAATTATGTAACTCCAGTAATTCTTTCCACTTGCTGATATTGTCTTTTGAAACCTTTGTTTTAAATAAACTTTTTTTAAAGAGAAATATAGCTTATAGATTCTGGAGAATTGAGCCTATTTCACAATGATTGATAAAACCCCTACAAATTCATACAAGAGACCCTATGATGAACTCCCCATGTGGTAGAGAGAAATCAGGAATTTACTCAGGCTATTTCTCAAGTTCACATCATGCATTTAGTAACAGTGAATATAGCTAACAAGCCCTTGATGGAAACGGTTGCAGGTATAAGACAGAGTTGGATTCATATCACACCTAACCAAGTGTTATCTCTTAGCAATGTATCTATCAGGAAGCAATATTTATTACTTCTTCCTTGAGAGATTCAGTCATATTATTCTTGATATCCAAGGAACTACCTAATGCCTTCCCTCATTTTTCTCTTTTAAGATTACCTGTGTACTCCACCAAGGGATGCAATGGGGAGATGAGACGGGGACAAATAGAACAAAATGATAGCCACAGAATCAAAAATCCAGAGAGCATAACATACGTTGATTAAACGCAAGAAGTTTGCTGAGAAAGAACTCATCCAGATATTTTCTTCCACTGAAAACTGTTGCCGTATCCCTCCAGCAGAAAGAACTGTGGATGCTTTGGAATACTGCAGGGAAACAAGAAAAGTAGCGAGGAGTTACTTAGCTATATTTAAATCTTCCCTTCCGAAGTATTTCAGTCATACAAATAGTAGAAAAAAAGATGAGGAATAATACTGGTAGGACAAAATACTGAATTTGCACATATCGCTATTTTGCAATTTAATGTATTATTTATTGCAATTCATCAAGTGGCATCTTACCCCATATTTAGTGTATTATATTTTTATCCTATCTTTTCCCGATAAAGTCTCTCCCAACTGTATACTCACAACACCGAGATAACAAGCTGAGAAATAATATCAGACGCAAGATGACTCACTAGGTTAAATTAAACCTTGATGCTAGGGTCTCACAAATGCATCCTGGAACTCACAGCCAAAGTGTAGAACTTAGATTTAGTTAAGCTATAACTCCCAGAATTTCTTCAACTGGCCAGGCTGGCTGACCCTGCAGGGATTTTTTAACAGTCACTAAAGTTCTGCTGCTCTAATTACTCTCCAACAGTCTACCTTTAGGAATAAACCTGAATATCCAGGGAAGGTAAATGAAGACAGTTCTTCATTGTTAGCTAACCCTCAATCTCATGCTTCTTTTTGTTTAAGCGGAACTGAGATAAGAACTCACAGTATTGTCTCTCTCAATTACCAACACTTGAATGGCATTTCTGCGTGTTTCCTTGGCTTTCAGCCAGTAGGCAATGGACCAGCCTATTATCCCACCGCCAATGATCACCACATCGGAATGCTCAGGAGGGAGATCTCTTTTTGGAAATAAGGAATCAAAGTCAGTCTTCAAGTTTGGGAAATTGGTCAGCTTCTTAAATTCTGAGAAAGGGAGAAAATTAAGCTAAATGTTATACAGTGTTTTGTGAATTCTAACAGTCACTAACCTCCTTATACTCTTACAAATTCTTATGACCTTACATTCACAGAGTTGAAGCTCACTGATTGGACAACACATAAAAAAATCAGCCAGAGTGACACTTGCCTTAAAATCAGGAGTCTGACAGCTCAATCTTAGGAAGCGACAAAAAGAAAATATCTGCTGTGAACTCTGTATAGGCATCAGGGAGGGCATCCAGCCAGTAAATGCTCAGTTCCATTCAGTTGCCCCCAACTCCACCCCAATAAAAGGGATTACAGGTAGACCTCAACTTACGACCACAACTGAGCTCAAAATTTATATTGTTAAGTGAGTTTTGCCCTATTTTATGACTTTACTTGCCACATGTGTTAAGTGAATCGCTGCAGCTGTTAAATTAGTAGCACGGTTGTTAAGTGAATCTGGTTTCCTCATTGACTTTGCTTCTCAGGTCACAAAAATCGATCACGTGACTCCAGGACACTGCAACCGTCATAAATGTGAGTCAGCTGTCAAGCATCCAAACGTAAATCATGTGACCATGGAGGTGCTGCAACCGCCATAAGTGTAAAAAATGGTCATAAGTCCCCCACTTCTTTTTCCATTGATGTTGTAGCTTCGGTCACTAAGAGAGCCCTTGTAAGTTGAGGACTACCTGTACAGGGTGGTTAAAATAAAATAAATCAATAAATCAGTGGAGTCAAGTTAGACCTGCTGATTGCAAGGGGGGGCAGGTTTTTAAATAGGATAACCGAATATGAGCTTCTTTAAAGGGCGGAGGGGGGGGGGCAGAGAGCATCCCCGTCCCCAGAGAAACGCTGCCTGGGCAGCCCCGGCAGAGCCCGGTTTGGGGGCTCAGCTGCCCCATCAAGCATCCCCAGGCTGGGATGCCCCACCAGCCAAAACGCCCTTCAACGAATTCCACGGCTTTCTTCTCAGCCTCCCCATGCGAAGCGAGCGCCTCTCCCGTTCTTGTCCACACAACACCCCGGACAGGTAGGACAGGGTGCAGGGCGGCCCCAGGCGGAGAGAAGGGCCGTCTGTTCCTCCGCCGCGGGCTCACCTCGGAAGAAATCCCCGCCGCGGATGATGCTGAAGCGAACCCGGGGCTCCTCGGGGTTAGCGAAGAGCCGCCGTCGCGCCGCCAGCAAAGGGCGCAGACCGGCCAGCGGGCTCCCTCGGCGGAGCATGGCGCGACAGACGCCTCTCTGACGTCAGAGGGAAGAGTGACGTTTAAAACCGCCGCCGCCCCTTCAATCCGCCCCGCTCAAGGACCAATCGGCGGCCACTCCGCAACCCCGCCCCCCGAGAGATCCATTCCACGTCGCTCCTCGCTCTGACATGTCCAGGGAAGCCGCCAAGCCCCGCCCCACTCGCTACGTCTCGCGCGGCCTTCGGAAGAATAGACCAATCCGATCTTCTTTTCCCTCTATCTCAAGATTAGCCCCGCCTCTTCCTCTACCGTGGAGGCCACTTTAAGGCTGTCGTGTCCAGCCCCTCTTCCCCGTTTCATTTTTCCAACCTTTTCTCTCTCTCTATTTCTATCTCTATAATTCAAGAGGGAGACCCGGCATATTTTAAGCAGGCTTCCTTCCCGGAATAAGCACCCTGTATCTCCAATGACAAAACCCAGGATTTTTACTCGTCCCTCATGAATGTAGACCGTTCCAAAAAAAAAAAAAGGTATAAGTGATAAAGGCGACAACGTGTCTGACGTTCGAAACAGCTCTTCACTTTCTATCTCTATGAGCTACCTCGGGCCCGCCTTTCCCGAAGACGGGATCCAATCAGACTTCTGGGGCCCGAGACGCTTCCGACGGATGTGAGTAGTACTGAGAGAATACTCTGACGTGGGTAAGGAAGTCGGGCTGGTTTCCCGGCGTCTTCGGTCCCGTCGCCCCCCGGTTTCCCCCTTCCCCCCCCGGGCCAGCGCCCGGCGCCCCCGATCCCGCCATGCTCGACTTTTTCACCATCTTCAGCAAAGGGGGGCTCGTCCTCTGGTGCTTCCAAGGCGTGCGCGGCCCCGCGGCGGCCTGCACTGCGCCCGTGAACGCGCTGATCCGGTCTGTCCTCCTCCAGGTAAGACTCCCTCCGCCTCCCCGCGCTCCGTTTGCACCTGTGGAGTTCGCGGGGGTGTCGCATATTTCGTTCACGCGGGGTGGGGTGCTAATGGAAGGGAGCCGTAAGACGATCTGGGCGGGTTCCACGAAGGCTTCCCTTGTTCATCCTGGGATGGGAGACCACCAGGAGATCACAGGAAGAATTTAGAAGTGGGCAGCCGCCAAATGCTTTCGTGCTGCTGCCGAGAGGGAGATCAAGGAGTCGCCCGGATCTGAGATCAATTAAAGGGAACTTTTAATCTTGATTATTAAGCCCCTTTTTAGGCAGTCTGTCTTCAATCCTCCACCTCCCAGATATCCCGTCAATCAAATTTTCCTCTTTTGTTTGACCTCTTAGAAGTCTTTAGCGGCCTGATGCTAGGATGTGGTTGAAATAACGGGATTAATTCATGACTTCTGTATAATGACATTGTTATTGTACAATGAATGAATTATTCCCTTCCATCTCTTGTAAGATATTATTGCTATTTAAGGAATGGAAAATCTCTATACAAATGAAACGTGTCCTATCAAAGCAAACACCTTGCTCTTTACAGTTGGAAAAACCTAAAGGGTCAAGAAATAACGTGAAAAGGAAGAAGAAATTATGATAACTTCTCCTCCTTTCTCTGTCCTTGGTGTATCTTCTGTAGTGTCTTTTTCCATGCTGCTTTTACAATATAACATATTGAATATTGAATTCTTTATTGTCATGTGTATGTGCATGTTGAGTCTGGTCTCTGGGTGTTATGTGAATTTTGTTGCATGTATACTGTGTATATACATACAATGACAATCCCCAAACACTTCCGCACCCGCCAAAATTCCCCTGCCTTCTAAAAGCACATAAGCATCCACACAGCAGACCAAGTAATACAGTCATAACACTCTGTATGCTTAATATAATTGTGCCTGAGTAATAGTTAAGAACGTGGCCCAAATAAACTGGATCTTCCCATTAATTTGCATGCCTATTAATATGTTGAGCAGGCCAGTTCTTGCAATATCTTGTAATTGGGGCACTTTGATCTCCTAGGAGTTTATTTGGGATAGGCAAAGTTAGCCAGCATATTGCTTTGTCATTGAGCCTACAACAAATGTTACGAAGGGACTAGATTCTTTTAGTGTGGTTCTTTTCTTTATTTCCACCTCAAAATAAACTCGCAGGGATTTAGGGGGGAGGAGGGTAAGTGTTCAACTGCATGACTGTCATCTATTTCTTTGTCATTCTTCTTGGCCTTTAATAATTATACTAGTTAACTCCAAGCTTCACTGTTACTGTATCTGAAAGATTAAATGTGCAACTGGCACATTACTTTAAGCTATAGGTAACTGTCAGTTTTCAATTTATTCTTAGTGCCTAAATCAAATTGAAACAACACACAATGTAACATGTTTCACGAACCATGCTGTATAAATTTTAGTCAGGTTATTTGAGCCAGGTAGGTCTTCCAGTATATTCTTGCATTCAAAGCCTGTTTATTGAGTAAGGTATTAAAAAAAATCCCCAATCACTACTTTGTGTACCGGATGGTTCTAAAGTCTTCGGGACTTGTTTGACGTTTATTATCTGTTTATATCTAAAAGCTTTCCTTTAACAGATGGTTTCTAAATCTATGCTGATGAGTCCGATTGTACTATGTACCATGGGATAGAAGCCATGCTTTCCCAGATCCCTTGCTAACAGGCCTTAAGGGGCTCTTAGCAATCTCCAGGCGGTCATCTTCAACTTTGCATTTGCTTATTCAGAAGGCATGATATTAATGAATTGGTATATAGTACTCAAGCATCGCATGCTAGTCCAAGATAAGTTAAAGTAATTTGCTATAAGAGGTTTTCACTGATTTTGGATCTCCAGAATCTGAAACAACCCTTCTTAAATTTGTTTTTAAAATTTGTTTACCATACTCAAGTGCCACTTCCTATGCTTTGTCTTCTTAAAAAGAGCTGACAAGAAAAGAATAAAATACATTATAACAATGTAAAATTATATTCATTAAAAGAGGCATTTTCCCCACATTCATATCCATGAGTTTTTAATAGGCACCAATATACTAAGCAGATCCTAGATCTCAAGGTGGAGTGCCTAAAGCAGTGGAGCACAGGTCCCACAGCAGAAAAGAATCTTCTAGAAGTAGCTGAGATGACTTTGGATGGTTCCTGACACACATGGTGCCAATGCTCAAGTGAGAACATTCCACACCTCATCCCACTAATCTTGAGTTTTGTAAATAAAAATAAAGAAATCAGCTATCGTGCAAGTTGTAATCGGGCCAATTAGTAAGATTTACTGAGAACATAAATTGGTTTCAACTAGATTCCCCAAATTCCACATAGGATCACAGATAGGATCCCGTTGAGCTGAATTCCCTTTTAATTATTTGCATTGTGTTTGCTCTCCATTCTCTATTTTGTATTTTAAATGTATACATTCTCTAGGTTTTACATAAATTGGGTCGTTTAGTTTATTGTTTTTCCATCATATGTTGGCCACAGAGACATTGAGTTGGGCAGCTTTATAACCTTCCTAGAGGGCTCATATTGTTGAACGAATTGCGGTATACTTTTTGTGGGGACAGGTTGTATCTCTCGAAAACTAAGCTCTTATAAAAAGTAAATAAATTTGGTGTGCTTATTCAACCACTTGCACATTGGAGATTGGTCTCCTTGGAGATTGGTCTCATGTTGGTCTGCACTCTATTCCCCACTGCCAAGAATAATTGCAGAAGCCACGTTTGACGTGTACATCTAGTGTTTCATTATGTTAATTTTCTTCTTTTTAGGAGCGAGGTGGCAGCAACTCTTTCAACCATGAAGCCCTTACACTTAAATATAAGCTGGACAATCAATTTGAGCTTGTATTTGTGGTGCGTATGCTGTTTTGTGCTGAAAGAAGTTTCAAAAACAAATGAATACTGAACTGAAATTTAAAAGTTTCATTATTGTCTAGTTCTTGAGAAGGTAAAACAGGTGAAAAATACGTGGCCTTTCAAAAATGACTGAATTACAACTCCTTGTGGTGTAGTTAGAGATGAACATTATGAGTCACAGTTCTGCAACATATTCTTCCTTTCCAGTGTTGTAATCCTATTGTGTTGAGCTCACAAATCACACCATTGTCATGGAATGTTTAATCCTGCTTTGTCTAACAAGCTACCATTGGCTGGAACCACAAGATGTGAGGCCAGAACCAAATGCATCTCATGTTTTATGGAGTCTGTAAGCCTAGTGTGTCATGATAGCAGTGTCTTATGTTCTCTTCTAATTGAATCATTCATCTGTTTAGAAAGCATATCAAGAAATCTAGCCTTTTTTGAATGTGTCCTTCTGCTTGTGTGAAAAGAAACAGGAGGCAACTGATTCATATTGTGGACTATTAAGACAGAAGAATTTGCATATCCTTAAATATGAGCCTTCTTAACTATGTACCTTTTTTCTTACCACACGGCTTCTCTTTTGCAGGTTGGATTTCAGAAAATCTTGACTTTAACCTACGTGGATAAGTTGATAGATGATGTCCATAAGGAGTTCAGAGATAAATATCGAAACGAGTTTCAACAGAAGGGAACTCTTGGGATCCTTAATGGCACCTTTGATTTTAAGGAGGACTTTCTACGGCTCCAACGGTAACAGAATCATCGCTTTTGTAGTCACACATGTTCTCCTGCTGTTGGCTTATCCCAGTTACTTCATCTTTTGCAGCTGAAAGTCTGCAATGGGAATCACTGAGAGCTGGGCAAAATGGGGAGCTGTGGGTGGTCCTTATGGTTCAGTTGTTAATGCACTTTGCTGTAGGGTATTTTTGGAACTTTGAAGCCATTTGCTTTGTCTTGGCTATCAAATTAAATTTGTGTTCAAAAAACCACTCATTCCAGAACTGCAGAGTTCTTCCCAGCTATAGGTTAGCATGTTTAACTATACCCAGATTTTTGACTGGTGATATTGAGATAGGTAGCTTGGTGTTCCTCAGCTTCTTAGATTCCTGAGAATGCTAGCAAGTTGACTTGGTCCAGAATAATGGATGTAGTAAGAGCTGTGGTGGCGCAGTGGCTAAAATGCAGTATTGCAAGCTAACTCTGCCCACAGCCAGGAGTTCAATCATGACCAGTTCAAAGTAGACTCAGGCTTCCATCCTTC